GACAGTTGTTAGCTGCCATGTGGGTGCTGGGATTCGAACCTGGGTCTTCTGCAAGAACAACCAGTGTTCTTAACTGCCGAGCCATCTCTCTAGCCCCCGAGCCTTCATTCTTATTTTCCCTCTCTCTGCTGTGAACCACTTTATATAAAGATAGAGGATGCCCTCAAAGTATGTTAAGCACTGATGAGCAACAGAATCATCAGATCACAACCTGGAGGAGAAGGAGGAGGGCCTGGCCACCCATAGCTGCCTGGACTCACAGCTATCTACGGGCTCTGCAGTCTCCACAGCTCAGCTTGAAGGAAGCTGACAGGCTTCCTGTCCTGTACAAATCGAACTGCTACTGCAGCACCAACAGCAGCTGCACAGGTCAGGAAGCCTGTGCCTTAGCCACAGATGGGGGAGGCCACAGGCAGAAGCACAGCAGCAACTCCCCTGCAGGCAGGGGTGCACATAGACACAGAGTACTAGGGCTTCCAGGATGACAGAAGGGTTACTTAGGAGAACTTCCCGGTCCTAAAAGTATGGTTTCTTTCCCTGAAGAAGAACTTAGAGCACCTGAGGTCAGTGGCACTTCAATCCCAATCCAGGGGATTTGAAGCAAAGCCAACAGGCAGAAAAAGCAGCCTCAGGAAGAGAGGTGCAGGGGTGGGACCCTGGAACAGCCTTGGAAGGAGCTTTTCAGCTAGTGAGGGATGAGCAGGCCTGAGGGAGAGTGGCCTCTCAGGCCCCATGTCCCTCCCTTTCCAGAATTCTGGGGGTTAAGTTAAATCCGGGAAAGGGAAATCTTTTCCCAGCAGCTCCGCCCCAGTGACTCAGGCCAGAGGGAGGGAGAGGATCTAGGGGAGTCAGAGGGAACTAGCAGCTTCCCCAGCTCAAGGGTCATGAGTCAGCAGAAAGAAGAGCCCAGATAGCAAGTGGAACCCCATCTGCCCCCTGCCCCAGGGAACAGTCTTTCCCCCATCGCTACTCAGAGCCTCTTCTACTCCTCCTCTCTTAAAAGAGTCAGGCCATGGACCCTTGACCCACTGGGCCCACAGATTTCAGGGAAATGCCTCCCTCTCCCATTCTATCCCAAAGGGAAGTCTTCCTGACCTCTGCCTTCCTCCCCTCGGGTCAACAGCTTCGTCCCAGAGGGCCACTGGCTCCTTCCCGGCCCTCCTTCCTGGCCTGGATATCCTTCCTTTAGACTGGGCTCCGCCCTGGTTCTTTTTTTCAGTTAAACAAGTCTCCAGCAAGAGTTCCATCCCTGGGCTCCTGCTCCCTGGCTCCTTGGGATCTCCTGCCAGCCCCCTGACACTCCCCAGTTCCTGCAAGAAGCCAACCCAGGCTGCCCTCCCAACCCCTGTTCACCACATTCCCACACAGCCTGCCTGGTTCTGGCATATTGTATTGGGTTTGGGGGCTCCCAAGGGTTCCCAGGCAATCTTTGGGAAATAGGGCTCATTCTGAGGCTCCACAGCCCCTCTCCAAGCCTAGTAGCTGCAGAGGAAAAACTGCAGCTCTAAACACTTCCAAGAAAGACAGAGCAGGCTAGAAGGGTGGCAGGGCATAGAATCAGCACTATATTCCATGTGGTCCAGGGGTACCAGAGCCTTCAGTTTCTCCCAGTGGACATCAGGTCTGGACACTTACTGATTCCACTAAGTAGTTGCATTATAAGCAAGCAACAGAATCAGGGAGTAATCTATGAAAGTCTGACCCAAACCTGAATGCCCTGACCTGGAGCAGAGGAAGGACAGGAAGCTAGGGGTACCTATGGAACGACAGTTGAGGGGGTGGCACAGCACCTCTCCAACACCCCCTCAGCTTCCGCCTGGGGAGGCCTTAAGGTGTGACTTCCTGTGCTGGGGCTGCCGAATAGGGCAGAGAAGCCAAAATGGACTCTGCGGTCTAACCTTGACCCAGCACCTCTCAGGGACCCACTCACTACGTGTTATGCCTGTGCCCTGCATTAATGTGTGCAATACATTAAAATGTGTTTGTTCCATTTAATGTCAAGACCTTGAGGGTGGGGAGCTCATAGTAGTGGCTCCTCTTGGGGCCCTACTGCAATCCCACCTCCCACCCAAGAAGCCCTCCATTGGTGATTCATGTTTCCCCACCCAAGCTCATTGAGCATGCAGTCACCCGTTCAATATCTACTCTGGGTTCTTATCAGAATTTGGTTATTTCAGATGAGTAGATATGATCTCCCCAAACAGACCACAAGCCCCATGAGCTGAGAGATCAGAGTGTGTCTTGGTCACATCACGTCTCATCCTCTAGGGGACCCTCCCAGCACCCAGAACCAGGCCTGCAGAACTGGAGGGACAGATTGAGGTGCCTCCATTCCAGTTGGAGACAGTGATATCTTCAAGAGGGAAGTGAAAAAGCACCCCCTACACACACACAGACACATTTGTCTCCAGGGGACAATTTTCAAACCATTCACCCACTTAAATACACACACACAGCTGAGTGGGGTGGCACATGCCTTTAATCCCAGCACTTGGGAGGCAGAGGCAGGCAGATCTCTCTGAGTTCAAGGCCAGCCTGGTCTACATAGTGAGTTCCAGGTTAGCTGGGGCTACAGGGAGACCCTGTCTCAAAAAGACCAAAAAATAACAACAACAAAAAAAAAAAAAACCACACACACAGGTGCACATGTCTCTATTGACAATTCTGACATGCACTCCTCTCCAAGTCCAACTGACACTCGAATGCAGTTGGAACTAGCCAGGAGAAATGTGAGACCTTCTGCCATAGCCAGATCAACCACAGCTCTACCAGGCCAATCACCAACTCTTAACCTGCCTCCAACTGAGCTCACCAGTCTCCTCACCTTTGTCGAAGCCTTCACAGCCCTGTCTTGTCTGTCATCTCAACCTCGCCAGTCCTTCCTCTCTAATCTCTCCATCCATGCCCTTGGTTGCCTCACACCTGGATTATTGATTGCTATAACTGCATTCCTCTTCCCTACATCACAGCCTGGTCTCAGGGTCTAGATATGTTGTACGGGCCAGCATCAACATTCTGGTTCAAGTGACGCCCCTCCTGGGACTGCAGCCACAGACATATTTTCTTATCTGCCTTCAGGCTTCAACTTGCACTATACCGGTGTGAATACTCCTCTTCACCTCCAGGACCTGGCTTCAGATATCATTTCCATGGATCACTCCTTCTCTGAATACAAGTGTCAGAGATACTTTACTTGTTTTTAGAACACAGTGTGAGCTTTTGAAGAATAGCTTATGAATCAATCAATCAATGAACGAATGAATTCCCCTCCACCTGGGTCCATATGCAAGAATCTATTTTTCTTTTGGTTTTTTGAAACAAGGTCTCCCTGTAGCCTTACCCACCTGCCCTGGAACTCGCTATGATCTCACAGAGATCTGCCTGCTTCTGCCTTCCAAGTGCCAGGATTAAAGGCATGCACTACTACACCCCGAGTTTTTTTTTTTAAAGACAAGGTCTCGTGTAGTCCAGGCTAGCCTCAAACTCTCTATGTACCCGAGTCTAGTCTTGCATTCCTGATCCTCCATCTCCCGAGAATTACAGGCATGTACCACCATGCCTGGCTCAAGATTCTTTTTTTTTTTTCAATGAATGAGTATATTGCCCATGGAGATCAGAAGACCATGTTGGGTTTCCTTGGAATTTGACTTACGGATAGTTGTTAACTGCCATGTGGGTGCTAGGAATCAAACCTGGGTTATCTACAAGAGCAGCCAGTGCTCTTAACCACTGAGCCACCTCTTCAGCCCCTCAAGACTCTCACACAGTCCAGTGTTCCCATTCTGATTTCCTAGTATTCCTCAACACAGTCATTCCACCCCAGCTAAGGTGTTCGGCTCCTGTCCTCACCACCCCTCAACAAAAAATCCCATCACTCCATTCCTATGTTCTCCCCCAATCCAGTCTCCCAACTCATCTGTTCTCCCTCCTTTTGGACTTCAGATGTCAGTTCCAAGTTCCCAAAATACTTTTCTATGAGGCATTCCCTCCCTCATCCTATCTAACCAATCACTTAATCAAGGGTCAAGGTCTCCATTCTAAGACCTGCATGGACGCTGGGGATGCCAAGATGGGTGGGATGTAACTCATACTCTCAAGAGTTCTCTGGGCCAAAGATAACACACAATGAACCCTAGGCATGCTGAGCCCAGCAAGCAGACATTAAGCAAGAAAAGGCAGTTGGCCTGTGGCCCACCCTCATCCCCAGTTCTGCCTCCAGGATACTATATCACAAGGCCTTGGCAGGTCTTTTCCTCCGGAGTGTTCTTGAAGTCATTTGCACTATAAGCTATTTTGGTTCCTAGATGCTAAACTCTTTCAGAGTAGCAAAACCTGGTTGGCTTTGCCACACTCCCTGCCACTGTGCTGCATGTCCTCATAGGCACCTTGCTCTATACTCAGAAGGCAGTGAACAGTCTGGTGCAGACCTCACCTGCCTGTTGGCCCTCAGCTCCAGGCTCGCTTCTGCCCACAGGGTCCCATGCCCACTTTGGACCACAGCTGGACCAGGTTCCTTCCTCTATTTACTCAGGCTACTTTCACCCTACCAAACATGGGCAGCCAGTGAGCAATGACTACTAACATTACTAGTGAGGATAACAGAAAAGCTAAACTGGCCAGGGCGTGGTGGCGCACACCTTTAATCCCAGCACTCAGGAGGCAGAGGCAGGCGGATCTCTGTGAGTTCGAGGCCAGCCTGGTCTACATAGTGAGTTCCAGACCAGCTAAGGCTACAGGGAGACCCTGTCTCAAAAAGACAAAAATAATAATATAT